AGGTAGGATATTACAGTCATGGAAGTAAACATTAGGGATAGAACTAGTTAATTCTATAGTAAAACATAGAGACAAAATAGTAACTAAAGGAAAAAAATTAAAAAAAAAAGTTAAAATTAATTTCTTTATTCTGTAAATAATAATTTTTTTTTCTATTTTTGTTTAATTCTAATCTTAGGATATGTTTTTTTTTTTTTGAGAAGAATCTTAGGATATGTTGTTATAACAAATTTATAAAATTGAGATTTAATAATAATAAAAATTAAATAAATTCACTGTGTTTGAATTATAGTCCAGTGTCTTGGGTTGGATGATTCTTGGCAGTTGCAAGGAACTATACGGCCAGTAACTAGACATGGACTTGACTGGAGATTCCTGTCACCGTGCAACTGTGCAAGGCAATTTAGTCCACAACGTGCTCTATAACTACACAAAGTTCACGGAACCACACTGACTGAAATGTGCAGGTAGCGTCCAATCTGAAGTGACGCTGAGCAGGAGATGACCCAAAAGTTATTCTTCTTTTATTATTATTTTTTTAAGCCAAATACATGGATTGGCCTGAGCTTTGACAAATAACACTGCGGCAGCCCTAGCTTTGCGATGGCTAATTATACACTTAAAGTAAAAATTTTGCACCTATTAAACACCTTTTATGGCCAATTATGTGCCTGAAGTAAAAATTTTGCAGATATTAAACACCTGCCTGCTCCCATGACCCTTTTGTGGGTCCCTATTTTCTCTTCATATCCCATCAAATCCCATCCTCCCCCCCCCTCTCTCTCTCTCTCCCAGTCTTTTCATTAAGCAAAAACAGAGCATTTCTTAGGAAACTTGAAATAAAACAGAGCAAGTAATGGAATTATTTTTCCCAGTCATAGAAGAGGACTCAAATTTTCAAAGCAAGAAACAAGGTCTGAATCTACTTGAGCAAAGTGATACATTAAAACTTTCCCTTATAATTAGTCAAATGCATTCTTTTGGGTTGAATCTGTTTATCCCATTAACTTGCATTATTTTTGTTTAGAAATATAGCTTAACCTCTGTAGAACTTTAATTCTCAATTTACAGAAAATCTATATGATTTCTACATATTTATCAAAATTTTAAAGTCTGTTTTGAAAATGGAAATGCATGTCCAATTTGGAACATGTTCCTGACTTCTGGGAGACAAAAATAAAGAATTTAATAAAATCCATAAAATTTCGCTTTTACCAAATATCTTTAGTGAAGATTTGAGTTGCTAGTCTGGGAAGGTACATAAGATTAGGTATACAAAATCACATGTAATAAAAATATAATTAGACATGTATATCTATTTTCCTTAACGGAAAATAACAATCCCTTATTTTAGTTATTTTCTTTCCTCCATGCCCTCAAACTCAAGCTTCTACCAAATTTATTTAGACAAACAGAGATTATGGGGCTTTAAGAACACAAGCAGTACTTTATCAATTTGCATAATGATACATACTTAATTTCAGTAATAAGGTAATATCAGAATAGTTGTAAAGAATACAACACAAAGTCTCGAACGAAGAGTACATAAATAAGCTAATAAACCTCTTCTATACTGCGGTATATTGTTAAATGAAGGATTTATCCAATTACATGAATTGTCGCCTATTGCAAAAACCTTGTGGATTTAGTTCAAAAAATCAATTGGAAAGATGAGAAAATAAGCTGGGAGGCAGTTTTAGAGGAAGCAAAGCCCAAATACGTATCTCTCCAATTGCAATCTAAATTAAAGGAAGCGATAAAAAACGTGTAGGCTTCAAGAAGAGCTACTCTTGAAGGTGGTCGAAGATTTGAAGCAGTGAAAAGGGAATTTTGAAGAGAGAGAGACTGATTGGAGTAGATGAGTTTGTAGCTGTATAAACTATAAACGACATTGTTCATGCCAGAGTGGACAAGATTTTTTCAAGTTGCATAAATTTATATACTTCACGCTCCTGTGACGCTCCTGCCAGCGATTGACTACATTAACTTATTTGCTAGCATGGAGAGGTGTAGGAATGATGAAAAAAATGAACCTCAGGTGCATAAGTAATGCCCCACAAAATTAAGGGTGCCATATTTTTATTTTTTTTATTTTTTAGTTTAGGGGACAATAGCATCATCTAACAATTCATTTCCAGATTCACCACCAACCACAATCAGTTTTTTACCAATCACAGTAGCAGTATGCTGTTCAATGAAATTACAAACAAAGAAAAAAAAAAACGAAAGTTTCCAGTTTTTCTAGGTTGGCATATGCATAATGAGATAATCAATAATGACTATAAAAATCAACCAAATCTTACATAGAAACGAGTGGGGCCATGGAAGAGATGGAGAGCTGTGGCTTTTAGACTATCAAGGGGAATTTTCATCCTTTCCTCGAGCGTACAAAATAGACAGAGGGACTACTTAGGATGACGAATGATGTGTTAGATATTCATTTAAAATGTGAAAATTATTTAAATAATTTCGTCAAATTTTAGGGATTAAATAATTAATTTCCCTTTGTTTTTATACTAAATCTTTAAAATTTATACACTTATTTAATAATTAAATTTAATTTCAATTAGGAGGTGATGATGATTGTTTTGAAAGTCTCCTGTCCCGTGAAGATTGAAGCAATAAGAATGGAGTTCAGGTAACGAAAGGGAAAGGATCGAGAGAATTCCTAATAAAGAGAAAGGGTGAAAAGCAAGAAAAAGTTGGAAATGGTATTAATTGGAATTTTCAATATAATTTTATTTTGAGAAATCACTCTTCTCATTCATATGATATTGGTATGATCTCATTGTATTTCCATTATACTTTTTCTACCAATTAAACAAATAAAAGTGGTAATTTTACTTTTTAATGGACTCATACGATAAATATTTATTTTAAAATATTTTATTTTTAGTGAATCGCAAATATAATTTAATTTTAGCCCAATAAATATAGCATGTTGAAATTAAACGAGATAACAAGTAAATTTTTTCACATGAAAATCAAATTTTTTTTTTTCCTTTCAAAATCCTAATTAAAATTTAGGCATATATTTTTCCTAAATAACAATTTTTAAAAATAAAATGGTTTTGGAAACAAACAAAGGAAGCCCCAAAATTTCTGACACAAGTAGAATCTTGTGAGTTCGTAAGTGTGGCTACCAAATATGGACATGACAGCTCAGCTATGCATATTAAGATTGGGAAAGGCTTTTAGCTTAATATATAAACCCATTCAAAAAAAAAAAAAAACTTAATGTATAAACATTGACTTGGAAGACCTAAGACTCTTCTGGTCTTGATTGGCGGCCATTGCAAGTGCATTGCAATTTAACCGTCTAATGTCTCTTTGAACTTCCATCAGCCACAGCTTTTCTTCTTTCTTATTGTTTTTTTTTTTCACTTTTCCAAGTTTGTGGAGCCCAAGGTACTTGGAAATCCACAGTGCTGAATACACCTTTGCTAATTATATAATATTACCTCCTTTTAACTTTATAACATCTTATGTCTTTCTGCTATTTATAATCTCTTATGTCTTTTTCATAGGAGTGAGAACTGATTCCATGATTTTTTTTGGTTGTTACGGTATTTCCATCATATCCATCTGAATTAAGATTTCATTACCGAAATAAAGTAATATTGAAATATTGAAATATTTTCCATCCTAAATTTAGGTATAATTCATTTGAATTAGCATTTATAAAATCAAATATAAAATATTTGAGTATATGTTTTATAAACTCAATTTTCGATTCATGTTTTGAAATGTAAAGGATAATAACAAAAATTATATGTAAAAAGTTAGAAAATATATATTTTAAAGAATGTGTTAATTGTAAAAAATATAACCAATCAAATTAAAGATTTATTAAAAATAATAATTAATAACCAATCAAAGTTAAACTATTTTTATTTTTTCAATCAATCAAATTAAAATAATATACAATAACCAATCAAATTAAAGATTTATTAAAAATAATAATTAATAACCAATCAAAGTTAAACTATTTTTATTTTTTCAATCAATCAAATTAAAATCCTTAACTATATTTCTATCGATCTATAAATTTATTAAATACTAGGTGGGTCGGGTTGGGTCAAGTTTACTGTTTTAAAATACCTGACCCGCATGTGCTGGTCAATGATTTTTTTGATCCAACCCAATTTATTAAATGCGTGAATCCGCGGGTTATAAACGGGTTAGGTTAGCTACTGGTTTAATATAAACCTGCGGGTCAAATGAATGAAACTAATAAAAATATTTTTAAAATAAAAAACTATTGTTTGAGAAGATTAGTAAAAAAATTAAATAAACAAATTTAATTATACAATAATTTTCATAAACTATAAATGTATTCCAATGACAATATTAAAATTAAATTTCTTAACATCATCATCATCAATGAAAAATTAAATTTTCTTTCTAATAAAAAAAACAACCAATTTTCTAATAAAAAAGACAACCAGTAAAAATACTTAGTAACATAATTATATAATATGTTTTAAGCTACAATATACTCCAATAACAAAGGTAATATCTACTACATATATAATTAATTTAGTATTTATATTCAAAATTGCAAATTAAATCAAATTAACTAAATAATTCATTAATTTATTTATGGGTATGCGGATTTATCTAGTGAACCAGTGATCCAATCTAATCCATGAATTATAAAGATGACTTGTCCAACCCAATCCATTATATTTTAAACCTGTCAAGTTAGGTTGGGTTGGATCGCTCGGGATAAGTTATGTTATAACGAATCATGTATAGCCCTAGTAAAGACATTTTTAACAATTTTATCTATAGACCACACCAATAACAATAAGCTTTTTTTCCTTATGAATTTTCAAAAATACCTTCATTTAAAAATATATATATATAAATTTCTTTTTATTAATTTGCTCCATAAATAAAATCGTAGATAGCCTAAGGATCACTTTTAGTGATTTCCGAAAAAGCATCAAATTTCGAATCTTTTTTGTGCTTATATAAACTCGCATGCATATACGAGACTAATAATAGAGATAGCAAAAGATCGGAAAAAAAAAAAAGCATGGGGTCAAATTTATCAATACTAGCTTCAATTGCAATTATTCGTAGTTCATTCAATGAATTCATCCCACAAGAAATCCGCAGTTACATATGGCAATTCAGTCGCCGGTTCTCATCCGAACTCACTATCGTCGTCAAAGAATCACATGAAGGCTCCACAAACCATCTCTTCAATGCCTTGGTTACATATCTTGGCAGCAATACTTCCTGCTCCCCTTCTTCTTCCTCTTCCTCTTCTTCATCCTCCCCGCGACGCCTAACGGTAGGCAAAAGCGAAAGCATGAAAGTTCTAACATATGGGTTAGACAGAAACTCAGAGATAGTTGATGTATTTCATGGAATTCCAATGAAATGGGGTTATTATACTGATTTCAATTCTACACTTCGTTATGAATTGACATGGTATGAGCTCAGGTTTCATAAAAGATATACTGATTTGGTTAAAAACAAGTACCTGCCTTACGTTCTTGACGTGGCTAAGAGAATTAAAGATCAGAATAGGATGGTTAAGTTTTACACTACTCGTGGTGGTAGAGATGGGTGGAGCTCTAAAGGACAGAATTTAGATCATCCCATGACATTTGAAACATTAGCCATGGATGGCCATGACATTTGAAACATTAGCCATGGATGGTGATCTGAAGGCAAAAAATTATAGATACATAGCTGGGTTATTTAGAGGGAAAGAGTATTATAAGAAGATTGGTAAAGTATGGAAAAGAGGGTATTTGTTGTATGGCCCTCCTGGAACTGGGAAATCAAGTTTGATTGCTGCTATGGCTAATTATCTTAATTATGATATTTATAATTTGAATTTATCTGCTGTTAATTCTGACTCTGGTCTTGAGTTTTTATTGCTTCATATGTCCGATCGGTCAATTCTTGATCGGTCAATTCTTGTGGTGGAAGATATTGATTGCTCTATCATGCTTCAGAATCGTCAAGCTGGAGATCATCAACAAGAAAATAACACCCAATCTTCAAGGCCTCAGGTTTGTTCTCTGTTCATCAACTAATTTGCTCATTTTCTTTATTTTCTTCTCAGTTTTTACTTCTCGTTTTCTGATTATGGTTTTACTATTGTTTTCTGGAAGATGGGTTTGTTTCAACGAGGAAGAAGGGATTAAGAACTAATTTGCATTGTACTTATACATGTTTTTTGGAGTAAAATGCTTCCAATTGTTTGCAAGGGTTTAAGCACTAAGCGTGGCTGAAGTTAAATTTGTTGTTGTTATTGAAAGGTAACACTCTCGGGGCTTCTTAATGCTATAGATGGCCTTCTGTCATGCTGTGGAAATGAAAGGATTATAGTTTTCACTACTAACTACAAAGATCGGATCGATCCTGCATTGCTAAGAGCTGGCCGTATGGACATGCACATATACCTATCTTATTGCACATTCTCTACCTTCAAGCAGTTAGCAGTAAATTATTTGGATATTTGGGATCATGACCTATTTAGTAAATTATTTGGATATTTGGGATCATGACCTATTTAATTCCATTGAAAAGCTTATCAAAGAAGTTCAAGTTAGCCCTGCTGATGTTGCAGGCGAACTAATGAAGAATAAAGATCCAGAGACTTCATTACAAGGCCTTGTCAAGTTCTTGGAAGACAAGGTAAATAATGAATCTTTGCATTATGATTTAACTTTGTTATATTTGTGATCGATTATTTTTGCTTCATTTCGTGTCTAGAATCATATAGACGTTCTGTTCTGCTAAAAGAGTAATTTTGCATAGTTAGGCTAAATTTTCCTGATAAAAAAAAATGAAAAGACATAGAATTTGCAATCAGTAACAGTCAAATATGATATTAATTTTCTTTTTCTGAGGCCTCTAGCTTAGATTCATAAAAGGGTTGCATCCCAAAATAATACAAAAGATAATTTTCATGAAATTTGAGATTGATTAATGTCATACCAGCAATGAAAGCTGCAGTTAATTTGTTTTTTCTGCATTTATGCTTGTCACTGACTTTATTTTTCCTACTTGGATTTCCTACATCAGAAATCAGAAGTAAAATTGCAAAAACCTGAGATCAAATCAGAAGACAATAATAGCCTTGAACAGAAGGCTGATGACACCGCCTTTGAAAATAAAAAAGAAGCCGAGTCTCCTAAAGCTCATTCAACTTCTGAAAATAAAAAAGAAGCCGAGTCTCCTAAAGCTCATTCAACTTCACCGAAGGAAAATAATTATAGAGTGAAGGGAGAATTTGAGCCTGTTCTTGAATCTATTCTTTCAAAGCACGGCGATATTGCTGCCAATTGCTCCTTGCATTCTCTTCAATGCCGTTCCTCCCTCTTGGAGATTGTTTGTGACATTATCTGGAAGCTACAAGCAGCGGAGCTCAAAAATCTAACTGAAATTCATCTGAAGTCCATGTTAAATAGCATACAAGATCTTGAATCAATTAAACTGGAAGTTGGCTGGCTGCGTCAGAGGTTAGAGGAGATTATGAAGGAAATGGACAAGCAGCTAAAAGGAAGAAATGCAGAAACAATCCAGAGTAACAGTAATGGCAAATTGAATTGTTTTAACAGCAAGTCCTCAATTGATGGGTTAATTTAACTTTCACATTTAAGCAAGTGAATTTCCTTTAGATGTCCTGAGAAAGTGCAGTATGCAATATTAGCGTATCTGTCTATTAGCCTTATTTAAGAGTAGCAGGCCAATGTAGTGGTTATTTAAGAAATATGAAACTAAGTAGCCTTATTTAAGAGTAGCCTTGTTTAAAATTTCCCTTATTTAAGTTACAGTTATTTAAGAAATTACTACGGAAAAATTTTACCTAGACTGGGTTTATAGTCTCACTTTTAGGATTTTATTGCTCACATGATCAAACACAAATTGCATGACATAAAGAAGAAAATTCTCCATTATAAATATCCTTGGCCTCGGTTATCACTAAGGATATTTTAAGATTTTTAATTAAGATTTTTTATTTTAATTGACCATAACAAAGGATATTTTAAGATTTTTAATTAAAATTTTTTAATTGGCCAATGACAAAAATGTTCTATAATATTTTTGATATCATTATTGATAAATCTAGCAATCCTATTATTTATCTCTCGTTCCCATTTATATATGTTATAGATAAATTAGATAGTTTATAGATTATTTTAAATAAGCAAATAAATTAGTGAATGACTTATTTTAATGTTGGTTTAAAGGTTTAGAGTTATTTCTATCATTGTTTCCGATTTTTAAATGAATTAATCTCAATTCGATTTTCATGAAAAAAAGATAGATATAAATATGGTGAAATGCAAATTATATGATTTGAGAAAATAATACTCTTTCTTTATAAATTAGATGCGTTCACTTTCTAATCATGCACATATAAATTAAAATGGCCGAATTAAGTTCCAAATAAATCTTCTTTACTATTAAATAGCACCAAGATCTTGAATCACTGAAACTGGAAATTGGCTGGCTGCGGCATCGGGTTAGAGGATATCCGGCTATAAGTCCAATTAGATAAGTGTCTATATCTATTCTATATAATAATAATATATAAAAGCAAAAAAGTCTAGATGATGACAATCAAGTGTAAGTATATAAAATTGCTACGTGTAATATAAGACATAATTATAAGAAGATAAGTTGTTTTATGTTTTCAGATAATGTCTTTATCAAAATAAAAAAAATATTATCTTTAGCATTAATATATTAATATCAATTTATTTCTTATTAAAACAATTAATAAGTAATCTATAAGCTTAAAAAGTGTGAATAAATAATATTACTAATAAATAAATAAAATATAAATAATTTAAAAAATATAAATTGGAACGTCGTACGGATACTATAATTTTTAAAAAGTAGGACATTAACACGCTTAGAAGACACTATTAATATTTCAAATAAATATACAATCATTTATAATAAATCATAAACATAAAATAAAATAAAATTAATTTCTTATTTCAATGACACAAGAACAAATAAAAAAAAACACTTCATTTTTAATTAGTAATTAAAAAAAATATTAGTTGATTAGCTTGGTGTATGAAGTAGTCTCATATGTCAGGAGTTAGCTTGCACGAACACATGACACGAGATAGAGGAATGTACATGTTACAATAATTTTTAAACAAGTAGGACAACCACATACTTAGGACACACCATACTAAATAATTAATACATTAATATTTCAAATAAATAAATAATCATTTATAATAAATCATAAACATAAAAATAAAAAATACTAAATTTCTTATTTCAATATAATTAATTAAATACATATATTTTTAAAATTGATAGGACTCATTTAAACACAATCGCTTAGATAATCACATACTTTATGAATTTCATAAAACATAAATATTTACAAATATCATAATCTACATTAATAAAGACTTTGAGTATCAAATAAGGTACTATAATTAATAATATATTTAATTGTGCTTATCTAATCTTTCACTGATTCACTCCAGCCGATACCAAAATAAAAAAAAAAACACTTCCATTTTTAATTAGTAAATTTTAAAAAAATATTAGTTTTGTATTAGCTTGGTGTTATAATTGTAACTAGTAGATACTTTCAATAGTATAAGTCGAGGATTCTTAGCTAGTGCTTAACGAATAGGATCATTGACACGCAGATAGAAGGAATGTACATGTTACAATAATTTTTAAACCAAGTGATACGAACACACCAAAACCATCAATATAACATTAGGACACATCAACACTACTAAATAATTCATTAACTTATAGTGAATATTATATTTCTCATTAATATAAAATAAATTAATATCAATACTTAATAAACACTTTAATATAAATATAAATTAATATTAATATAATATAAGAAAATACCTTAATATATCATTATTTACAATATAATAGATATAAATTCCTACAAAATTATTATCCACTATTAATAATTATATATAACTATTCATAGTTAATGTGTGCACTTATATTGATATAAGGATACTAATTATAAATCCATATCATATGAGTTTTAATAATGCATCTATATTAGTGTAGGGTGAAAATAGCTTAACCATTATAATATGAAATTAACTATAAAATAAAACAATATCCATAGGTATAATTAAAGGAATCTAATGATATATCTCATTACTTCAATCCCACTTCTGATAAAAGCGTTAACGATATCATATGTATTTTCAGAGGTACGTGTACTCTAGGATGAGAGCGACTCTACTAGAGATAGTTAAGAACTTTAAAACTGTGACGTGTTGAAGATGGGTTTCGAGATATGCGTCAATATTTAGTGTGTATTCCGGTGCATTTAATTTTTTATGGATTGACAGTGGATACTCAAACCCAGGAATAACACCCGAGCTCATAACATCTGTTTTCCTCGTTTTAACTAGTCTACACTTCATTCTCCCCTACAACACATAGTTTCTCGCTGATACATTTGATTTCTCATTTATCCTCCCTCAAAGAAACTTCTCACGCCACAGTTTATCCTATATGATCACCCCTCTTTCTTTTTATTATATTACTACTACATTCACTCGCTCGCTTTATTTCTTGCCGTGACTTACGTATTCTCACTATTTTTACTCAGCTCATGTCATGTCAGTTAAATGCAAACTCTTTATCAACATAATCGTTATAAAATTCATTATAAGCGTGTAAGTTCATGTCTGTTATTTCTTTTTAACCATATGATTAATAAAATAATATTTTTAATAATGTTATTAACTGTTTTGCTCAGTTTTTTTACTTTATTATTTCAGTTGCGTTTCAGGTATTTTAACATCGCGTGAATTTACCGCTCTATATTTGGCCTGTTCCTAGAATGTTTCTCTCTCTTTATTATAATATAGTGATCATTTTTCTTAAATTTTCTTTTAGTTGATCATGATTCCACTTTAATATAATCGGTATATTTATAAATATGTGGAATCGAATAATTCAATGATATCAACATAATTTCAGCGACGTACAAGAGTAATTTGATTATTGTAAGAGATATTTGATATTTAATTTTTTGTTCATGGATGCTAGTGTTAACAAGAAGGATTAGTTATTCGTTTTTGATATTTGTTTGTCGCCTGCCTTATCGCTTGCGAGTCACGTGTTCGGTTTGTCTCACACATGTTATTATTTAGTTGTGAATAATATAATAAATAAGCAGATAGATGTATTTAACTTAACTGACAATGACAGGTATAAGAGGTTGCAGAAAGTAATAGCCTTCTCAAAACGGCTCAGATCGTAGTATGAGAAAATACAGACCATAGATTAGTTTAGTAACATTAATCATAGATGAAGTATTAATATGAGAATTATAAAACCAGATTGATAAGAACTACCAAATAAAGATAAATTTACGAGAAAAATAATATTGCTATTAAATCAAGTTATGCAGATACTAAGTAACATACGAGAAAACTAAAGCAATAGAAGAAATTAAATTACTTTAATAAATAAAAAAATATATGTTTTAATTCTCAAAAAATAAAATAACATATTTCTTAATTTTAGAATAATTAAAAAGAGAAAATAAAGTGAAAATAATTCTGATATAATTTCTCTTTCTAAATTAATTCAGAAGACCAAAATTTAAAAAAACACAAAGCTATAAAAAATATATATAGAAAAAATTAATTTAAATCTAAATATCCAATAAAAGAAAGTAATCATAAGTTTTTCCGAAAAAAAAAATTTAGTCCTTGTATTTTCTTAAATCTTCAGTGGTTTTAAAAAATAGAATTAATATTCAAACGAAAATTGTCAGGCCTAAATTATGTTAGACCTATTAGTGAGTTCTGTTAAACTAAGATAACTCCGCCTCTGTCTTTGAAAGACTGGTTTTGACAACAAAAAATAATGAAACATTAGGAAGAATTTGGTTTATACCTAACTATTTACTTCTCTAGTTCTTCTTCTGTAATTTATTTTCTAATTATATTCTAAAAAAAAAATAATTAATATAATTTTTCTCCCCAAAAAAAATAATTTAGTTCCTTCTATTATTTTTCTAATCATTCATTAATAAAACAAAAGGCCACAAAAAACAAATAAAATAACATTTCATCCCCTATGTGTCATAAAATAAAAAGCCTTGGGCATTGGATTCTAACTTAAGCATATATGAATTATAGTTCTCATCTATACCAGGAGTTAAATACCCAGAACACGGCACATGGACTACTGAAAAAGTACAAGGTCCTGTGAGACGAAAATTTTAAACCACCGAGTATGACATCACACGGATATAGAACACACTACTCAAATAAAATATAAATACATTACATGATTTTTAAATATAATAAACAATCAATTTAATAATCAAAATAAATAAACAATCATTTATAATAAATCATAAACATAAAATATAAAAAATACTTAATTTCTTATTCAATATAATTAGTTAAATTTTTAAATTATTATCACTATTGAAAAATACATTAATAGTATGTGTACATTTTTCTATGCATGTCATATTACACGTGAACACGATTCGCCTAATACGTGAAATAAATGGATTAGGGTTAAGGTTAAATGGGTTCGTATCATAAATAAGTCACCCATTTTATAACACGAATATAAACATATCGTGTTGTGGGATAAATGAGTGACCCGTTTATTTAAAAGTAAAGAGGAAATTTTAGTGTTACGTATAAATACTCCAACTACAACCTACTTAAATTGCATTATTGTATTACTTTTTTTATTTTAGTTATGAATCTTGAAGAATTTATACATTTTATATACGAAAATTTATTTTTAAATATGATTGGAATTAAATAGGTTAAAATTTATAAGTAAGTTAAGTAGGTCGTAAACAGGTCAACACGACTCACTTAACCTGTTTATGATATTAAGCGAGTTATACGGATTGTATATAACATGACCTACTTAACCTGTTTATCATATTAGACGGGTTAAACGTGTCGTATTCGTGTCACCTGCCTAATTTTTGTGTTGTGTTCATGTCGATAAATTTAATATAATTATTAAATTGATTGTGTTCGTATTAACCCTAATCGTGCCGCATGTCAATCGAATCCGTGTCAAAACTGACACGCCAAACTATCTTAACACCCTTAGATCATACCATGCATGACTTTTGCTATTGCATAATTTGGTAAATTTTTTTTAGCATATCTCACGTATAATTTTGTAATGCATTTCACGATTATTTTATTATAAAATTTTGTTATTTTTGAATGATGTAATAAAAGATAATTTCATTTTAATGTTATATAAAAGCATATTAGTCTATCTTAAATGTTAGCCAAAAATTAGTTCTTTTATATTTTCAAATAATGTATTTATTATAACAATATCTATTCTTTTATATTTTCAAATAATGTATTTATTATAACAATATCTATTAATTACATCTCATCAACCTATTAAATTAAATTCAAATATATATAACCAAAACGCTAAGGTAATTATTGAAATAATAAATTAAATATTTTTTATTTGATGTTTAATATTTATTATAAAATAATTATTTATTTATATAGCTTATATTTTGAACATAGATATTAGTCTATCGTAGATATGGGTTAGCACATTATAAAGATTAGTCTTTATATTTTCAAAATATGTCTATTATATTATCTAGAGTGATATCGATATTCATAGTTTATAATTTCAGAATGGAATTTATTAATTTATCTAAGCTCGATAATATTGATGATACTACTTTAATTATGTACTTCTCCATAACGGAACTCATATATTAACATTATTAAAATTGCAGATAATGATATGTCACACCGAGATATCAAGAGCTTAAATGCTGGAGAGTTAAGGTGAGAGTAGATTATCATATGAAAGTTAACTCTATCGTGATTTATGAGTGGTATCAATATACGATGTTTGTGGATATATTATTATAAAGATAACTATGCCTTATATAATATAATAATAGCTTTTGACTATATAAGAAAGCGTAAACGTCCTATATTACGGTTAAAGGCATAGTGCTAAATAAATATTTTATTTGGATTTAGAATATCCCAATTATAGATGTGATTATATTAAAAAAAATATTAATGTTTATATGTAGCTCTTGAATCCAATATACGAGGTACGTGATTATATTCCTATTAATTACTAAAGCATTCTAATTGAATCTTTTTTGAAAGAATCAGCTAAATGACTATTCGTACTCTATTCAACTCATTTGTAAAATAAGTGCATTCAATTGGTAAAGGGTCGGTAGACTGCGCACTCTACGCTTCCTGAAATATATAGTCGTCAAGGTACTTATTATTAAAACAAATCGAAAATTAAAAGTTATACAATCTTAAATTAACTTTTCATAAATAAACTTCTCTTTAAAATAGACGGTCATTGTACGAATCAAATTTGTGAATACTATCCAACAATATTTAGAATCTCCGACATTGTAGTCAGATGGTGTGATAATTCCACGCAAAATTCTAACGCATGCCCCATGTTGTATATCTCTGTGAACTAACCTACTGATGTCCTCTCTTAATAGTTGGCTGTCCTATAAAAAAATAAATCATATTTATTAATTTCACAATGTGACTAATTTTCGCATCTCACTTTTGAATCTTGTAGTTTTACAGCCAGTTTGAATACTAAATCATTACAATGAGTCAAGACATATATATCTCGAAGAAAAGAATTTCATTTTCACAGTATCAGAAAGAGGAGATAAGAAGACTAAAGATAGATGGAAGAAAGAAATATAAGGAGAATTTTCAGCGATAGTAACAGGTCTCTCATTTGGTGCTGGCCACCTATCAAAGAAAAAAAAGTACCATCCAATAATTCTTAGAATCCATAATTACATAAGCTCAACTCTTCCTATTTAAATTTAACATAAAAACCCTATACCGATAATAATGAGTCTCAAGGTGAAAACCATTGAAGCAAATAGTATGATGTAATTATAAAATAATTATTTATTTATATAGCTCTTGATATACGAGACTATTCCATATACTAAAGCATTCATTGAATTTTTTTTGTAAAAATGCAAATTGCTTACACTTTATTAACTTTTGTAAAATTGTCATTCAATTTGTAAAGGTCGTAACCAATTACCTTCGAAAATATAGTCTAACTCTTATTTTACATCAAAATTAATTACAAATTCTATAATTTAAATTTATAAAATTTTTAATATGGTATTAGAATCATTTGTGAATTTATAAAAATAATTATCCAAAATTGCAATTTGATATAAGAATTTAAGATCATTTTTAATAATGAATTCTTTTTTATTTTTTCTAAAAAAAAATCATATTTTTAATCCTATATTTTAAGATCACTTTTAAATATTTTATTTTTATACATAATCATGTAGAATATTTCAAGAAAATTTTCATTTTCAAGTTCCAAGAGATAAGAAGATAAGAAGGAAAAGAAAAGAAATTATGTACAGTAGCAATGGCCTTAAGAAAAATAATTAATTTATACATACTCCATTAAATAAAACAGGTAATGATTAAACAATATATGAAATACATCATTTACCCTCTTCAGCCATCTTCTTACGGATTTCATGAGCTGTGTTGAAGATACCGAGCGTAGGTTGGTTGCACACAAAACACTTCTTGTTCTTTACATGGTGCTGTGAATCAGAAAAGAGTAAAAACAGATCAGTCACACACATATAACACAGATCAAAATGCAACAAGAGTTTAAGACATGCAGCACAATACAGTCAAGAAAGAGGAAAAACAGAAATTCTGTCTCAGACATTCAACCAAACGCAGCATAAACAAAGCCATCAAAAGCACACAAGCATTTACCTTCAAAGCACAATGTTCGCAAAAGTAGTGCTTGCATTTAGTCACAACAGGATCTACAAAAGGCTTTCTGCAAATGAAACATGCAAATGGTAATGAATCATCATCATCTTCATTGTCATCGCTCTCGTCTACACCATCCTCATCCTCTCCCAAAGCCAAATTTCTCTTCCTTATCTTATTTGCCTCTTCCCATTCTTTCTCTAGTTGCCAACCAGGCTTATAATCCCCTCGATCATGCATGAATTTACATGAATCTCCATATCCACAGTAACCAGTTTCTTTATAATCCTTACATATGTCAGGCTGATAATCAAACCTTGCTGATACCCGAATATGAGCAGAAGCCCTAAGGGGGCCATGAGAACCACCAGCTTTTTCACTTGAAATTGTTTGCTCTCTTCTAAAGCCAGCTTTATGATCAGTATAGCCATGAATTCCTTTATACAACTTTTCATTCCCAGAGGCTGGTTGTTTACCCTTCAAAGCCTCCTCCGCTTGCTTAAGAGCCCTCTCGCGAATGGCCCGGGCATCTTTTGAGAACTCAGTCTCAGTTTCTAGAGTTGCTGTTGCCTTACTATCATGTTGAACTTGAATTTCCTTAGAAGACTCGAATTGAAAGATTGGTCTATCAGATTCCACATTTGCTTCAGTAGCCTTGGACTTCTTGGAAGGTTTAGAAGAAAAGTAAAGCTTATTATTGTCAGATTTTGGAGCTTTTTTCTGATTGTGCAGCAAAAAGCTTTCTGAATCCTCATCTTCATCAATTGTCCTCTTTCTTATGTTCTTATTCTTCAGTGGCTTTTTGAAGAAATTACACACTGCAAATGCCCAAGACATCAAAGGGATTGCTTATATTACCATAGAAAGAAAAACAGCAAAAAAACAAAAATTTAAAAGAGGGAGAAACCAAAGAAAGAGATAAAGTTCCAAGGTATACACCTGGTGCAGGTTGTTGGGATTCACCTGAATCAGCCATCTTCAGATGTGGAAGGAAAATTATAAGCAGGACTATATGAGTTATGGTGGAAAAGTACTCCTTTATAACTCTGAAAATAGACAGGAACACCACATCAGCCCCAAACACAATATAATCTCATGAAATGAGAAGACAACTACAGTGCAAATAGATTCATTAAATAAAATAGCATCAACAAACTTGATTGGATATATAACATATCCAATACTTAGCTTTCAAGAACTCTCACCATCTAAAGGTTTTTAAACAATATATTAACACCATGCTTCAACCAGTTTAAACATCTATGGACTTGCATATGAGCGTTAGGCTTATACTTTAGGCCTTAAGACCAAATCTCCATTTGCACTCAATTCAGAGTACTTCAGACTCTCTCCATTCCAGCATTACCTATACTGCTACATACATATGCAATGAATCTTTGAAAGCAACAGAAGAACAGACATATCATATACACTAGATAAACAATCCTCTTTAACTTCTCCTACACAAATAAATTACCAAATAAACAGTCTTAATGGCAACAACTATTATTAGCATTTGAAAACCCAAATGGAATCAAACACAACTACTTAATTAAAAATATAAGCGCCAACACTTAATTGTTCTCCAAATAAACAAATGCCAGAAAAAACAGAACCACCTTCAATCCAATAGGGGATTAGCAGTAGCATATCTTTTTGATTAACTGGATAAGGATTAGCTTCTTTTGTGATTTCTGCCTAGCAGTAGGTGTCAGGCGAAGGGCCAGAAACGTCTTCTTTCTACCCGACTTGTCTCATTAATGTGAAAACTGGCAAGCCCACGGAGCAGTGCACTAGCTTTACTCTTTCTGAATCAGAATCAACAGTTCTGTTCAGAAAAACTCATTACAAAGATAGAAACTCAAAATCAGCACAGTAAAATTAAACAGAGAAATTATAAGAAAAATAAAAACAAGAAGCCAAAAACCAAAAACAACAGAACCCCATATAATTGCCTAATTCAATAGTTCAAAACTCAGTTCCCAAATTGATTCAATCTACTTCCAATCTCAGTTAAACTAAATTAAATTTGAATTCAATAATTCTTAAAAATGTAATTAATAAATTTACAAAGAGAGAGAAAAAAAATGACCACCAATAGTAGAATACTACTGGCGAGCAAGGATGGAGAGAAGCAGCAACGATGAAGAGAGGCAGTAACGACGGATTGGACTCAATTCGGTGGTGAGTGAGACTAGGGATGGCGGCAGGGCAGTACCCACCAAAAATAAGTTACCCAACCCCAAACCCGTTATCATTTTAAGTACCTGAATTCATCCCGAATCCGTTAAGGAATAAACCAATAATACCCAAACCGGCCCCAAATCCATTTAGAATTACCCGCATACTACCCGAACCCGTTTACATAAACATAAGAAATTTTACATAAACATAATTCTTGAGTGAGAACTAAAGCCACATAGAACATATTAAAAAGTATCTCAATAAAAAAATTACTGAATTAAAAAGTAAATTAAAACAGAACAAAATTACAATAACAACACAAGAAATTTTACATAAACATAATTCTTGAACTCCACCTTTTCAAGAACCAAGATTGCAACGATTAACAATCATAATCATCTTCTTCCGCACAACAAACATACATCCGACCCCACGCATGAACAAAAATCTGAAAAATAAATAAGAACAAGAACTCCATTATCCAAGTCAGAAAAAATTTCAGCCCTATATAAAATCAGTCCATTATCCAAGTCAGAAAACAAATTTCAGCCCCCCTATTATAAAATCACAAAAATACTAATTCCCACTTATAAATATATATAATATATATAGTTATAATATATATATATTAAAAAACTGTAAGCAGATATATATATAAAACTGTAGCAGCAGAAAACCAAACTTTATTGCCAAACCATTCTCAGTATATGACAATTATACGCAAATAATCTCATTCTCAGTATCTCTACACAACCTGAATCATTATTACAAAATCAAACTTTGAATTAACAAACCAATCATGTCAGATTTCACTCATATAGCCACGAATCGGCTTATATTCACCATCCTTTTGCCTTTTAATAAATATATATATTTTCAACAAATAAAACATGCACAAAATCCACGAACGAAAAAACAAAACAATAAACATATATCTCTCGGCTGAACCCACAAAATAATTCAATATCCTCAACAATTCCTGCTCTTTGTCTGTTTTATATGTATTTATATATAAAAAAAAAAAAAAAAAAAAATCCTCCCTGATCTTATGTCTGTTTTTATACTGTTTTTATAATAATAAAAAAAAAAAAGAAAGAAAGGAAAGGGGACGAAGCAAAAAAAAAAAAGGGAAAACTGAGAAACAGAAAATATAAATAAATCAAAGAACGAACCTGGCTCTTGTAAAAAAAAAAAAAAAAAAAAGAAAGAAAAGGAAAGGGGACGAAGCAAAAAAAAAAGGGAAAACTGAGAACGAAATATAAATAATCAAGAACGAACCTGGCTCTTGTACGCTTGAAGAGCACGACTGCTGCGGAGGCGACGGTCAAGAATAAAGCGACGGGGGGTATAAAGAAACACTGTGGCTGCAGAAGGAGAGAACAAGAGCGGCGCAGGGACAGGGAGGGAGCAGAAAAACTTGACTTTTCGTTTGTAATGTTAAAATGCAGCCCTATGATAAAACGACGTAGTTTTATTTGTGGGTTCATTGGAACCTCCTAAATCAATACTACGTAGTTTTGATGGTAAAATAGTTATTTTTGTTATTATTATTATTAAAGTTATTATTCTTAAAGTTATTATTATTATTATTAATTATTGATTAAAAGAATATAATTATATTTCATTATTATTATAATAACAAAATATTATATAAAGTGTTAAGTTTAATATTTTTTATTAGAAAATATACTTAGTAGGTTATAATTAATTATGGTTGTTGTAATCATTAAACTAGACTTCTAAGTATAAGTATACTGATATATATGATGATACCAATAAAAAAATAAAAAGACATTTAACTAAGGTCTAATTGTAATTATGTTTATAACCTAAGTATAAGTATACTGATATATATGATGATACCAATAAAAAAAATAAAAAGACATTTAACTAAGGTCTAATTGTAATTATGTTTATAAGTTCATTGGTGATATTTTATATGAGTCATATTCTAATTTACTAAAAGTCTATGTAGATTTCATATTCCACATGAGTTATATTTTAAATTAAGATCTAATTATAATTATCATTTGAAGTTTACTAGTGATAATAATAAGTAATTTTTAAAATTTTTAATTATATAACATTTAGCGTTCTATTCAATTAATAATTTTTTTTTAAATTTTTAATAAATTACATAATTACTAAACTTCATAAAATTGAACTAAATTATTAAGACACGATACCATATGTATAATTTCGTTTAATATATTTTATGTGAAAAAACTAAATTCAAACTATTAAAATATTGTAATTTAATGCATGTAATTTTTTTACTAAACATTACTTATGAATAAATTATATTAATATTCAATAATATTTTTATTTATTAATAAAAATTTAAAAATATAAATAATTGTAATTTTTTACTAAATACTACTCATGAATAAAAAGAAATCATGCCATATCTTTGTCTTTTGATGATTAGTATATGGTTGAAGTTTAGCATGAATATTCTTTGTATATCTTGACAAATGTCAAATTTCCTATGATTTAAGTCATAGGGATTTTTGGAAAAAATGATAAGTATATGGATTCTTGAGGTGTATTTATGTTTCTTAAAGCATATAATGTGTTTTTGGATGAATTGATGAGAAAAAGAAAGTCTTGATGTTAAGAATGAAACTCATGACTTAAGTTTTCCTATTACTTAAAATATGAGAATCTTTGAGTAAATGCCATAAAGTTTGCATGTTTAACATATGTGCATGCTTATATTTGTTGAAGGAATATTTTGATTGAGATATTTGACGAGTATAAGCCTTGAATATGGAAAATGGCTTTTATGACATGAAATTCCTATGATAAGCTAATCATGATAAAGTATGGGTTTTCATGATTTTATTGGATCTTAAGCTAAGAACATTTGATGATTTTGAGTATATCAAGAGAATGTAAAACTTTAAGAGTAATCTTATGATTTAAGAAAGTAAAGTTTTGGGCTTTAATATACTTAGTGTCAATTTGTTGTGTGATTTTGATTTATTCTGTTTTATGAGCATGCTCAGCACTTTATGCTATTCTGTTATTTGGATATAGCTATGATCATATGTTTGGCACATGAGTGCCCTCTGTATGAATGGACGAGCTCTATCTAATAAGTTTTGGCTTTTAAGCACTTTGTGATAATGTGGCTATTCTATCCTTCTGTTTCTGAAATCTAATCTATTTCATTTTCTATTAAGTGTTTGTGAGCCCCACAAGCTAAAAAGAAAAGAAACTCACTTAATAAGATAATATTTTATAATATACGCATTTGTGAGATCATAGTTCATACTTATAATACATATGCTTGCAATACATGACTTATGAGTATTATCCTTTTATATGATACCATGTACCTTTAGCTTGTAAATATGTAATTATGCCTTTATGTGATATTATATGGTTTAATTCTGAGTACTCTTGTTATATATGTTTAAATGATTATATGAAATATGAAAGCTTATGCATTTTTGCTATTCACATGATTATATGATTATGAGTTAAGCATGAAATTTTGATTTGAATGTACATTGCCATCGCAACATTGGATGTATATGATTTATGAGTACCACTGAATTGTATACTCAGGTCGATTTCTATCATGCGCAGGTTGTTGATCGAGGGTTCTGGTAGAAGACCAAAGTATTAGCATTAGAGTAGAAGGATTTCATTTTGGTAGTTCTAGTTTATGTTTATTATATTTATTGATGACTATGGCAGGTATAACTTAAATATGTTTGGAGATTGTATTTATTTGGAGCATAGTATAAGATTTAAGTTTATGAAATTATTTTACTCTTGAGTTGTAGAACTAACTCCTGGGTTATTTATGCATGAATGATTTATGGAACTCATATCTAAGAGTATTTATAATTGTATATGATTAGAAGAATTATGATGATGTTGATGATAATGATTAGAAGATTATGGATGTATTATAGATTGAGATTGATTATATATTAGAGCTATTGGATGGTTGAGGAATTGAATTGGAAGTGATTAAACCCCAGATCTTCAAACACGCTCATGCTCATAAATTGGGACTAAAATAAACAAGAAAAGCACAATTGAAGGGGGCAGGTATGTGAAATTTGAACAAATTTGTGTCTAGGTGTTACTGATGTTGGAGCACCATTATTGCCCTCTCTAAAAGCTATCGCCTTCTCTCTTTTTCTCTTAGGCAAGTTCTTTATCTCTGTCTCTCTCTCTGATTTTCGATCTCCATTTTCTTGTCGTTTGGTTATTGTCACGCCCCGACTCTAATCACCGGAGGAATTGTCTGCTTTGGTGTAGTCCACGGACGCTCTACATCGCAGTGTAGTCCCCGCACGCCCTACACCTCACGGTTTTGTCCCGCAGGTGAAATGGTACATCGCAAGTGTAAGTTCCCCGCACGCCCTACAACCTCACGGTTTTGTCCCGCAGGTGAAAATGGGAAAAACTTTTGAAATGGGAAACTTTCCAGGAGGTCACCCATCCTAGGATTTCCGTTAAGCGAGCATGCTTAACCCTGGAGTTCTTCTAACTCTCCAGCCATTCCATCAAAGGGCGCCTCTGATGATTAGTTTCCCCCTTTTCGATATATGATTCGATTCATTCCTGTCTCCCGCATTCCACTACCCTAGCTAGCCTGCCATCCTAGGATCGCTTTGCCGGGTCGGGATGTCACAGGCCCACCAGCTTCTGCGTAGTTCGTCCTCGAACCATACATCTATTGGAGGGGGTCCGGCTCTGAACCAACTGTCACGCCTCGACTCTAATCACCAGAGGATTTGTCCGCTTTGGTGTAGTCCACGGACGCCCTACACCGTAGTGTAGTTCCCGCACGCCCTACACCACACGGTTTTGTCTCGCAGGTGAAATGGAAAACTTCCCAAGAGGTCACCCATCCTAGGAGATTCCGTTTAGCCGAGCACACGCTTAAACCCTGGAGTTCTTCCAACTCTTCCTCCAGCCATTCCAACCAAAAAGCGCCTCTGATGATTAGTTTTCCCCTTTTCAAAATATATGATTCGATTCATTCCTTGTCCCTCAATATATGATTCGATTCATTCCTGTGTCCCGCATTCCACTACCCTAGTTAGCCTGCCATCCTAGGATCGCTTTGCCGGGTCGGGATGTCACAGTTATTGAGAAGGTTTTTGCAGAAATAAAGTTAATAGCTTGCAGTTTGTTACGTATTTCAACAGGGGACTTTTGTTATCTATTGTAAAGATTCAAAATTTACTTTCGACTTTTTTGACGATTTCTCTCTTAGCTATTGAATAGAGAGCTTTTTGGGTTTTGCTTTTTTCCCCTGTTTTTGGCTTTGTACTTGCTTCTTTTGATTTTTCAGTTGTTCTATGTTCTAATGTTCTATTGGGTTCAGATTGTTTAGTTCTTAATTTTACTTTTGTAATTGTTCTTAAATTTATTTTTTTTAAAACCAATTTATATGGTTTTAATGAGTAAATACTAGTCCCTGCATAAAATAGATTTTGGCTTAAGTTTTTAAATTTAAATGTTGATATTGATTTGAAATTAAATGGGCATTGTAATTTATTGTTTTTATGAATGGAGATCAAGGAAATCTTGAGAGTTGTTGAAGAGTAGCATTTTTATTGGGGAAGTGTAGAGAGGACGAGAATCAGAAGTGATGGTGGTATAATATCCATGTCAAAAATTCATCTTGGCATAACATCTCTATCCTATTTGTATTTCCGACTTCCCATGTAAGTCGAAGACACCCGATTAAAAATATTTTTAGAGTTTAAACACTTAATTAAAAACATTTTCCGTTGAGACATCAAAATAGAGAATTTTCAAAAATTGGACACTAAATGTATAATTAACCCTTTCTTTTAAAAGTTTTCCATACACTGTTTTTATTTTTCCTTTACAATCATACTTTTATATTTTTACATACTGTTATATTGTCATTATGTGTGTTTAAGTCTTATAATTTTTTCAGTCATTTTAGAATATATTTTCATAGCTTTTTTCAAAAGATAGCTTAGCATTCTTTTACAATTACACTTTTAATAATAATTGCACTCATGTTTTCAATCATATTTTATGAGCCTTATTAGAAACTGTTTGCCTTTAACATCACATTCACCTATCAAACACATTTATATCCCTATATAATTACATTTAACATTTCACTGGTCCACTATATAGTTTCTCACGAAATCGATCATCTTATCATAGTACTCTAAATAAATCAAACATTTGATACCTCATCATAATTATTTACCTCAAAATAATACTCTTAAAAATCTCAACTATACCATACGACAAAAATTTTTTATCATATACTTATATACAGATCATATTCTTATCACCATTGTCTATCTCCAAATAATATCTCGTAAGATTCACTCATCTATAATGCATGAATTTTCACAGATTATATATCTCATAATGGTATATTGTAAAACTCAATTTAATTCTATTGCAATGATG